AATCAAAAATCATCCCACAGATCAAACACCTTCCACAACCATACCGTGAAATTTGTAGTATCTGTATCAAGAATCGATCTTTACCATTCATCGGCGCGTCCATTGAATCAACCTGCCTGTGCTTGAGTTTGGAACTTGCTTTCACATTTTTTTTGTTTGTTTTGTTTTCTCTTTTCATTTTTAGGTGTGCAAGGTGGCATGAGATTGAATTCTTAAGGATATAGTTTGATTGGTAGGGGTCTTTGATTTGTGTTTTTCTTCTCCTTTTGTCCTACATAATAATTTTCTTTGGAATCTTTGCAACTGCTCTTGGAAATACTATCCTACATCAGTAAAAATGTTACATAGATATTCATAAGTTTTGAGATACAGAACCACACTTTTAGTACTGTAAAGTTAACTTTGGGAAATATTTCATCTACTATTTGAGGAAATTCTTGAATTTTAGCTCATTGTCATTGCATCATCAATTGATGGTTCTTAAAGCTACACTACACAATTTTGTCAAAAGAATGGTGCAATGTCTTTTTTCACATGCCTAATGTGATTGCATTATTGAACAGAAAGGTGAATTATACGTTATGATCAGTGCTAGTATCAACATGTTACAGATATGAAATCATTCACATATATGATCAAGACACTGTAAAGATGATGATATGTTAGCACAGTAACTTGCGTAGATGTAATGTTGATGATATTTCCTCACCCTTAACAATGTAATATCCGCATTTGCTTTTGAATTTGCTTATATCCTTCCTATGCTGATGATTAATGTAAATGCATAGCTAGTAAACACGATAGGAGGAATTGAAAGAGTCGAGCCACCGGTTGTCAAGATTGCTAATGATATTCCACAGGATGAGTTTGGGTCAATAACACTTAGATTGTCTACACGCCTAGGATTCCACTCGCGCATATGTTATTTGTATTGTTACAACCACCAAATATAATAAATCATTTTGATGCAGGCACAACTGTTGTCTATTCATTACGAAGTATGCAGAATTCATAATCAATGGGAGGATACATGAAGTGTAGAAGCTATTGCTCGAACCAACCTGAAGTGTCAACTATTCAAGTACAAAAATCAAAGCAATCTGAAGGATACAAAAAGTAACTGGGATTTCGTTGAGACGACCATTCGGAAGGCGAGGAAGGAAAAGAGTAACACGAATGCATAGAATACAATCAAAACAACATGGAGATTCACGTTTCCCATTTTCCCAAAACTCCAGTGGATTATGGATACGGAAGCAGGGGCGGATTTTTTGGTAATAAATTAGTTATTAGTGGGAACAAGACAAAGTAAAATTGTATACAGGGAAAGATTATATTTTATTAGAAATCCAATATCTCGGGTGTAATTGTAAGACTTGCAGATTTTTGGAGTTTTTGAAGGAGATCTTTTTGTACAGTCTAAAATCTAAACAACAAAATTTTTCTTTGCTTGCATTTTTGGGTGGTAAGACATAGAAAGTTTTGATATACAATTTATTTAGACGGCGCACCTCTTCCTCAATCTCGTAGACAAGGTGTTTGTTGAAATGAGATATCATTTTACTTATTGTGGTTGCAAGTAGAAGGTCAGAGAATTACGTTGTTCTTAGTAAATTGATTCGTCTGACACTACCTGTACTACAACGACTAATGAACGAGCTTTTTAAGCAATAAGACACATGAAGACAGCAATTCGTAACAGAATGGAGGATGAGTTTCTTGCTAATTGTATGTCTTTCTACATTGAACGAGAATTTACCGAGAAATTAGATGTAGATTCTACTAGAGACGAGTTTTACGAAGTTAAAGCTCGACGGACACAACTTCAGTAGATAATGTTGTAATGAAATTTTAAGTTGTATACTTTATAAAAAATTGTACATATATATTTTATATTTCAACCCCCCAACATGATTTTTTGGATCCGCCCCTGTTTGCAATCCCAAATCTTTCGAAAACTTGCACTTGGGATCCAAATGGTTGGAAACCATCTATTTTATCGTTAGTTGACTAAGAAAAATAGACTTTGATTGATTTTGACCAATTTTAAATTGGCAAAATAGTAACATACAATTTTCTCACATTTGGCCCCCATTTGATTCCCTTTCTTTAGACACAAAAATGAAAAATATAACCGTTAAGCTACCATATTTGACTTTCTATCTCTTGTGTGTCCCATAACGGTTATATTTTTTATTTTTATTCTTACAAAAATGGGCACCAAACGGGGCTTAATAATTAAAATATAAAACTGAAAAAAAAATCATCATTTCCGACTATCCTCTTCCATATTTCTGTTCACACCCCACACACTACCCTAAAATCAAAATCATTGTTACCACGGTCGTCCAATACTACCCCCAAACCCACAGCCACCATATTTTCCATCGCGAGTAAATTTAATGAACACTCATCAAACTTTACTTCATATTACTACTTGCTCACCGAACAATAAAATATAACCAGTTGCTCATCCATCTTTTCGATTAATTACCCGTGTGTCACTCGTTTAATTTCCGTCATTCTCAACTAACGGAATACGACATGTGGCAGACGGATTCCAACATGGCACATAACACACATTCAATAATGCCAAATGGTCCAAAAGCGTGAAAAGCCCAAATTGAAATAACAAAATCGCCCCCAAATCCCATGGAAGAACACTTTCCAACATAAAAACATTTCTAAATCAA